AAAAAAACCCACCACACACAAGGAATAATGGTTAAGTAATAAGTCTTATAAACCATTGTAGGGGACAAAGACATATTGACTATTTAAGGGCACTCTTGACCATCTATTTCTATATCAGATTTTCTGCTCATGAGATTTTGCTTATTCTGACAAAGTTTTGAATTTTTGCTGGTTTTTGAGGTGATATAGTCACAACTTCTTCCATCCATTTTACAAAAATTGTCTCCAATATCCCCACTCCCAATGACACAGGTCTGTATCCATGGAAACAAGAGTGACAGATTGTGTTCCAGGATATATATATGACAAAACAAAGCTCTTAGTTTTCCACAACAGAAACGGTAAATAGTAAAACATAATTTGTATCACAGAAAAGAATCAAGCTTAAAAACAACGAAAATAAAAGGCAGTGAATGCCTTTCATAAAGTCCCAGGAGACGAAAAAGAGCTTGTTTCTCAGCTGATTTTGGATTGCTCGATCTCGATAAAGAAATAATTTTTGCTCGATAAAAGATGCAAGAGCTTACCATCATTAATAAGCTGATGTCTCGGGTAATCCCTGATAGACCGTGACATCGGGAACACTGTCTCTGTTACCGATGTAACAGCAGATCGTAAACTCTGTCCAAAGTTTGCCGCCATTTTTGTTTACAGCACCTTGTACCATCATGCAATGCAATCCCATACCTTGACCCACAATCCTTTGTGGGAAGGAATTACCCATCAAACCTTGCGCACTGCATYCAAGATGGCGCAGATCACTACGAGATTTCTTCGAGGTATATGCGAACAAAATATTGAATTTTAGCATCTTAGTCATCTTAATCTTTATTTTCAACAGCACATATCTGTTTTCTAGTTCTTATTTTTTCCTATTGAGTTAATATTTTGATTTWTTTATGGAATAAAGGTCGAATTTCGGCCTTGAGTCGTCAGGTCGYTCGTCCATTTTCGSTGGGCAGCGCTAACAATTCATACAGTAAGTATTGCTGTGGATTTTTCTGTTGTATTCGCATTTTTTGTGTTCTGGTTATTCATTTGTCATTTGTATTTGCAGAATATGTTGTCGAAGAGGCACAAGATACACCTATGGACATGAAGACTTCAACAGATCGTAATGCAACAACGTTGTTTTTTAGTGAACTGCTTCGTGGTAGGTATTTATAATATTAACAAAATTGTACTTAACAGAAAAGTTATAAGAACTGAACGATTTAAAAAACTAAAGGATTCGAAATGCATTTGCGGTTAATGGAACAGATGCTATGAAAACGATAAGAAAATCCTCCTTGTCTGCTTTGATTGTTCTTTTGCACGAATATCTTACAACTTTAAACTTTTAGGACTTGGAATAACGTTAAGCAAGATGTTCCAAGAACCAGCAACGATCAATTATCCATTTGAAAAAGGACCTCTGAGTCCAAGGTTCAGGGGGGAACATGCACTAAGGAGGTATCCCTCTGGAGAGGAAAGATGTATTGCTTGTAAACTCTGTGAAGCTATCTGTCCTGCTCAGGTATTTAGAATTTCTGTAAAACTAGAATTTGTGACTCAATTTTAAATATTAAACATAACTTGAATAATTAAGAAATTTAATATCATTCATTGATATGGTAAACTATTTATTCTAGGCAATAACTATTGAAGCAGAAGAAAGAGCAGATGGCAGTCGGCGTACAACACGTTATGATATTGACATGACAAAATGTATTTATTGTGGGTTCTGCCAAGAGGCTTGCCCTGTAGATGCCATCGTTGAGGTAAGATATGTTTGTGTAAATTTTTACACAATCAAAATGCTTTATCATTTTCCTCTCTTCTCTGTCTTAATTCCTCCAAAATAAATATCAGGTAAGAGCCAGCTCATGCAGGAAACTGGCAAGAACTGGTCATTTGAGCCACTTAAAAGTTGAACCATTTAATACAGTATGTAATTTAAATGGCAGTTATTTCCTGGCCCTAAGTTATTTTGATACCCTGTGTGTTGGTATGGCTGGGGATGAACATGTGACATCCTGCACCACAGACAGATGTTCAACCAAGCAGGTGGTGGTTAAAGTGGTTACTAGTTTTAAAGTTTGGTAATTTTTTTCCAGGGTCCAAATTTTGAGTTCTCTACAGAAACTCATGAAGAACTCTTGTATAACAAAGAGAAACTACTAAACAATGGAGACAGATGGGAAACTGAAATAGCTGCAAACCTTCAAGCTGATTTTCTGTACAGATAGATAATGTCTTCGTTGTTGCATTGATAAATTAGTGTCACCAATCTCTGTTTTGAAAATGGTGAGTTCATAGGACATGGAATCTGGGACTGAACTAAAGGACCTCCATTTACCTTTATCTTATATTGATCATGAGTTCAGGCCTATTAGGTATTACATGTGTTAACAGCTAAGTAAATATGTAACTTTCTTTTGGAGTTAAGGTTAGTTTAAATATGTCTTTTTATTTCATATGTATACAAATGTAATAAATGATTTTCAGTCTATAAATATCACATTGTGTATTCATTTTGGAATACAGTATGTTACATAATCCAGTATTTACTGTACGTCTGGGAAAAAGGTAATGAAACTTTAGTTGTAAAGTACAGACTTCTGTAACCCTTCCATATATTTAATTGAAATATTAGTTAATTAGGCCCCGTCCACACATGTCTGGAAATTTTTGTATCCGCAATTTTTTTTTACAGATACGGGTTGCGTCCACACGTGTCCGCAAATTTTTGTGTCTGTATCCGCAAATTCTACAAAAACGGACATGTGTGGATGGTGAAAAGGATTCGAATATGCTGCGTGTAGAGGCAAACATTTTCGTATCCGCAAAAAAAAATTTGCGGATACAAAAATTTCCGGATACATGTGGACAGGGCCTTAGTTATTCTTGGTAAATTCCCCTCCCCCCCATTAAGCTCGTCCCCTGCTCTTTGCCTTCCTAATTTTATTTCTAGTTCATAAGAAATACGACAAATGTATGTTCAATTTATAAATGATTACAGTATAAATAAATATGAAATGTTATACTCCGAATTAATGGTATATTATGAGAAGTTGAGGATTATTGTCTTAGGTTTTGTGTCCAGTGTGGTTCCTCATCATCTATGTCGTCATCTGCCTTCACTGTTTCTGATGGTTTGACTAGGTCTCTCCATAAAAGGTCCTCCTGACATCCAGGACATTTTCCCTCCAGAGGAAGACAGAATATCCCATCTTCATGTTCATGACGAATGAAAGCTTTGGCTAAACAGACAGTGTGTGCTATCATATTGCATTCAGGTTTAGGGCACTGGACAGTGAATTCTTCAATCTAGAAAAATGAAAGTGCAAAGAAACTTTTTTACTCATTTGAACATTAATTTTTTTAAATAAATGAAATGTAGAGTTCTCAATGTTTCATAAATAATTTTAATCGTTACCCTTTCTAAGCCATGGCCAGTACCCTATCAACAGTATATGATACGAATCTTTTTATATTTTATATAGCTGAAGTTATGAATGCTTCAGTAACTAAAAGACATTGTAAGATCTATGGCATCTAGATATGGAGCCCAACAGGTCAACATCTGCTATACCATGAAACTTGTGCAAATAAAAATGTTTTATTTGTTTGGTCAGTGGTGGTCAAATAATTGTATGCTGTTTAACTGGCAATCTTGCCACACTTTTTTTTCTTCGTAAAATTACCTTTAACACATTCATGGCTTTCTAGAAACACAATGAAGTCACTGGTGGTAAAACCGCCTAACTGGAATTTCCCTTGCCACACGTTTAATTTAAAGATAACATTACCTTAAGTTTTGCTGCGCATTGGGCACATCTTTTGCTCTGGTATGCAGGAATATTTAAATCCTCTTCCTCTGCTTCTTTTTTCTTCTTTGGTTTTTCAGTTTCAAGATGGCCATATGCAACAGGCATGTGCACTGGAGGTTGTCGACAAGGGTCAAACTCTATTTTGTAGTCTTGAATCAGCCATCTTATTGTTAAAGGTAGTCTATTCCATGGGCCAACTCTGAGCAGCTCTGAGAGAATCCTGAAGGCAAATGCCACACGACTTTCTTTTRTCTTTTGGCTCTTTGTAAGTTGTATGTGTTTAAGGCGGCGAGTTCTTTGTGGATTCTGCCATGCCCATTCAAACTGATTTTGAATTAGAAATCATTTAATTAACTAACAAAGTGATTTACAGAAAATAGGATACAATCAATAGACTTGATTTTTGTCTTGTGGAATTTTTATTAGTTGTTTGGCAAGTTTCATTAGAAAGTTTAGTTTTTATGGTTGATTTAGCATGGAGGGCAGTGAAGACTGTTAATGAGATTTATGAGATTCATTCAGCTGATCAATGTAGACTCCTTGTAGAACTTTTGAATGCAGCTCAATCTGGGGGACAAAAGAATAGGTCCAATTCTCAGGAGATTGAAATTATTTTGTTGTGTCACCCAGAACAAGCTGTTTTGATGTCACATGCAAGGGGTCTATAGTGACAAATTATTGCTCAATAAAGTTAGAAGTTCAATTCAGTATTAACATACCTGAAGGGCAATCACATCATTAGGAAAGCCATGTACTATCAATATCATCTCCCTATTGAAAAGAGAAATTTGGAAAAACAACAGGCTAAACAATGTAAAATTATAGATTTAGGCAATGCTTATCCCAACCTCCAATTCCCTCCTCTGGCATACCTCCCTTTCTTTCCTTCACTCTGCCCAATTTCCTTGAATGGCTCATATCAAGTTCTAGGCTATCTAGAAAAGTGTACTTGGTAGCCTGTGTACAGCCTGCTTCTCATCCCTCACCCCTGTGGGGAAAAACTTTCCTGATAGGGGGAGCGGTGAGAAGCAGCTGTACACAGGCTAACTGATTTGAAGGCGTAGAAGCTGATTAACCATTATGACTCTGCACTGTGGGGGTAGGCGGCTGGTAGGCCGGGGAGAGGGGAAAACAACACCACCTCATTCCTTTCTATTCTTGGAGAGTTTTCTATTTATCTTGGGGAAAGGGTGGAAGTCTACATTACATAGGATTAATGTACTTTATTCTATATCGTGATGAAGATTTTATCCCCCCGCCCCCTCCCCCACCAGACACACACAAACCCTTCCCTCCCCTACACCCTCTAGAAATGATGCGCATATATATAAACAGGAATCCCACAAGTCGCTAACTCGACATATTTTAATAACTTGTAGAACAAGAACAGAAAGATGAGACATTTGTGTGCCCAGAATGCAGACCATACACCTGAAGAGCAAGCTTCAAGCGTACACACAACAAGAACATCACACAGAGAAATGCAAAAAGACGTAAGTAAAAGTTTACCAAGGTTTCTTCTTGCTCGTCTTGTGCGCTCCTCCTTTATCCACACCGCCATTATGTTGTCTTATTCTCCTCGCAGGATTCACAGTATATCCAATGTACGTATGACCCCTGTACCTTGGATTTATGCAGTTCAATAAATAAACTCCATGGAATCCTCTTCCTACCTTGTTATCCTCCATTTATATATATTTTTTTTAATGAAGGGGCGAAAACGCTTTCTTTTTAAAGATTTCGTCCGCCATTTTTTGAATCTACTCGTTCTCATTCTCTCTCGTCCGTCGCAGAAGCGAGGCATTTTCAAAATGGAGGACAGCGGCTTTGCAAGGTAATTTTTTTTCTTTTAATTATTGAAGATTAACGACGCAAAACTACTATTAAACGACCCATTAGTACCACAAATGGGTGCTCTGTTATCCTACGTAGACTCTTCTAAGTTATGGACAGATATAGTCATATTTTGGACACGTTTTTACGAGGTTGTTAAGAAGCAAAGTGATGAAGTCGTTTCCTCAGAAGACTGGCAAATTCGTGCGAGCTTAATTCTTGTTTTTTGTACTCTCGTGAACGTTTTGCTTATTTTACTTGCGTGGAGAGTGTTTGGAGAAAACGTCTCTAGTATATTTTATAACAAGCCCAAGAGCCCTGTGAGGCGGTTGGAAAATTTAGACGGTTCGTTGTCGAGAAGTATGGAGGAGTTGATTACCAAGAAAATACAGTAGATTGATACCTGCGTTTTGAAGCTTCTGATAATACACGCCACTACAAGAAATCATCCTAAAAATTTCATAGTGTATTATACCAGCTGCGTTGACCTTCAGAACAAACTCAAGGTCAACCAATCGGAATGGAGTATTCACCATCATATTTTGATTACCATTTTCCATGATTCTGCCAAGAGAACCTATGAAGTATAAATTTTTTCCTTCTTTAAATTTATTGTAAATGCTGCTAGTTGAACTCATGGTGGAATTCTGGTCCATTCAACACGAGAAACCTACATTGTACTCAGCCCTGGCTAGGAAAATGCTAACCAAAAATATTTGACCCATATTCCCTTTTGGGGATCGCAGTCAACTCAGCTGGTAGGTAAGCAAGAGAAGAGGATTTTGGAGTTTTTCTGTTCTTTGTTCATCCATCATGCAAAATGAAGGTGACTTTAAACTGATGCTTAGTTAATGGAGCATGGCCTTAAGTTTTCATCCTTGGAATATTGTTGGTACTAGATAATAATTTGAAAAGAAACCATGTGTATTGGCTAGAAAAGGATGGAGGAAAATTATTGATATAAGGTCATTCCATATTGATAATGGACAATATGCCAAATATGAAATCATTGGACAGATGGTAGTGTAGATCATCCTGGGTGAGTCCTATGTTAACAGTTTAAGTAAAATTAGGTGGTTTTCAAAGTAGAAAGTAAGCCAGCTTGATGCTATGGAAGTCACCAAACTGGGATTTCACACCAGAAAACATGCCATGGTCAAATATCATATTGTTATTTCGATAAACATGTTTTTCTGGCACGAAAACCCAGTTCGCTGACATCTGTAGTATTTGTTTTGCACAACAAAAACTGTTATGTCAACATCATAGCCATCTAGCTAACTCTTTCTACTAACTTGATTGAAGGAGTGCCTAGAATAGGTTCAGAACCCCCCTCCTTTTACCTTCTCCCCTTTCTCTTCCCAAATCCCCATATCAAGGACCTTGGCTATATAGAGAATTGGTTGGGAGCCATTTGTAAGAAGACTGAATATGCATCATCCACCAGGGCCTGCTTGTACTTAGGGTGGGTACCGTTATCAGGTGGTATATATAGTGATGCTTTTATCCAATAAATCTATCCAGTGGATAAGATTTATCCATTGAATAGCACTATCCATACTTCGTACAAGTGGGCCCAGATATATCCTTATCCAGTGAATAAACTTTATCCAGATTGTGAATATTCTTATTCAGTTGCACAAAGCTCAAATAAGAATCATTAACTGGATTTTATATTGATAACTTTTCACTGGATATCGAATGGATAACTTATTGAGGTTGTTAACCCACTCCAGATTTACATTTTTGTGTAGAGGATTATTGACATCCCATTGCTATAAAGTAAATACTTTAAATAAGCTGCAAAGAAATCGTTAAAAAATAAATTTATTTAAATTATTTTGGTAAAGAAATGTATAACTTTGTACATCAGATGAAGTGTACATTAAACTATAATTATTGTGATTATGTAGTTAATCCAAATACTTATTTGGAAATATTCAAATAAATGAGTTCTAATAATATATAAAGTCAAATAAATGCACGTCTAGTTTGGACTCAATTTAATTAATTATCTTTTACTATTGTCTTTTGTTTCAACTAAAAATAATCCTTGCTTCTTGGTTTTCTTATCTTTATATCTTCATGGTTCTTTAAATAAATAATTACTAATAAAACCAAAAATTGAATCCAAAATTCTGTGATGATGATAAATAAATTATGTTACTAAGCTAAGCTAATTGAAAATGTATTAATTTTTATAAATTTCTTAATATGAAATTACATATACGATTCATTTTCATTGCTGCATTTACCACAGCATTTCTTGTATTTTGCCTTCTATACAGCAAATTTACAACAGTCTAAGTTTCTAGAGAAAACGAAAAAGCAGTCGTCTGGAAGTTGTTTAGATTACACAAACATGTACCAAGTAAGAGAGGGAATCTCTGTTTTTTATACTAAAAACCATCATAGGCACTATTTGATGCTATTTTTAGAATCACATTTGCCATTTTTTGTTTTATGCATGTGCCAACTGCTCAGGCTCTACCCTGTTTGCTCACATTTCCTTGAAAAACAAGAAAACATTAGCAAAAGGTGGAGGTGTGTGCAGGAGAACAAATGATTGATTCTAAAAAGAGCTTCAAAGAGTCAAATCTAGAAAAATTTTCATTGCATATGTTTTTTCACTTTTTCATTTCATTAATTGTCAACAGGTATTTTAACTAGTTCTCTATATTAATAATGAAAGTACTCTTATATAAAAATAGATTAACTAATATGTATAGTATTTTAAGTGCATTAACTATGAGCCAAATATCTTGACATCCTGACTATAGTGACTCTAGGATCTTTCTTACAGTAGGATTCACCTGTGAATAAACAAAAACATGATTTATAAATCAAGAGTAACTTATGTTTCATAAATTTATCAGGTATACATTTCAATGAATTCTCTAAGTTTATACCAATAATTGATAATTTTCCTAATTTACAGCATTATTAATTTAATAGGTCATTAGCATTATACTACCACTACCAGAATCCTTTGCACACTTTCGTTCTCTAATTTAATTAGCACCAGGTGTCTTACTATTTTCATGAACAAATGAAAAATTGAACAAGAAGCATTTTGGTAGTGCTAGTAAAATTATGCCTTCATGCAAATATTTGAGCATTTAAAGTATCAAACTATAAACTCTTAATACACTTACATTAAAACCATCAAGTTTTGATTTTAAGCTGCAAAAATCAGCTTTTTCAATGATTTCTTTAGTGCTGTTGATGTTTTTCGTTTCTTCAGTTCTGTGAATTAGTATTGAATGAGAAATACATGGTGAACTCGCAAATAATATGAATATAAAAAAAGACTAAAAAAAGAAACTAAGATGGTTAATTCCTTGACAGAAATAGTTTATATCTAAAGGCAAGAAATAACTCACACAAAATTTGAGAAGAGAATCCTTTCAGAAAAGGCAGCAATAGCAGAAAACTGCTTCATGTTGAACTTAGTTTTATCATCTGCCCCAATCATCTGGAAAATGAAACAAAAGTTTAATATTTCATATTTTTATATTTTGGGGAAATACAGTTGATGTGCCACACCTCAACAATATTTCGCAGTGGGATCAATTCTCTAGACCCATGCTATTTACGTAGAGTTTTTCGTTGGTTGTCATCTTTGATTGTTGTGACCTCGGCAAGAATTAATAACCCAAAATAATGATATATTAAAGGCATAATTAATTAATTACATACCTCAATAATGTTACGCACTTCTTTGATATCAATTGAGTCAACATGAATTTCTCGTAAGCCTTTGTCCAGCTCCTGATTTAAAACATGAAATAATGAATGTTTATTAAGTCTCAAAATATYTAAACATTGTATTGTTTTTTCTGGATTGTAAATTTTGATCAAAAAGTACGATAACTATGAACAAAGACAATAATTACATAACTTACTCTAAATGAAATAGTTCCATCTCTGTCTTTATCAACTTTTTTAAATGTATGCTTGTATAATGCCTTCCGTCTTGTGCTGCAATAGAAAAAAATAAAGATATCAATTTTGCTCGATCAAAAATGGTTCATTAACAAACTTGATTACTTTAAGTAACAGATTCACTCAGTTTTACACACCTTATTATGCAATATTTTGTTAAGTACTCCATGGCAGTCATTGCTGTCATAAAAACAAATAGGATGATAAATAATAAAACTTAGATTTTTATTTCAATTTAATAGTTGATAAAAATGATGTTAGATTTGCATAGATGAGAGTATGTTAGATTTGCATACCATATATCTATGAAAAAATTAACTAACRAAATAGTACAAATTAGTGCAAAGTTTTGTAGGTCTACTGAGGTATACCAAACTTACTAACATTTGTGCACATTTTTTTGCAATTTCTTACAAACTTTTTCATGGATATATGGTATACATACACTTTAGCCAATGATCAGCACTTGTCAATATAGAGCCATGAAAAAACTTCTCACTTAAGTTGTCTTCGTTGCAGACTTTGATAGAAATGATTTCAAGCTTAGCCAAACTGCAGTGATATTACATTACTCACATTCTAGTAGTCTGACATCCATAGGTAATTCAAACCGACTTGTTTGTTTAGACAATGCTAGTCTTCCTTGCAACCATGGTTTCATTCCCTCTTTTTTCCTCTGGAAAATAGGAAATCATAATTTATTACAAATTTTAAAATCATAAACTCAACTGAACACTCCTTTCTGTATGTATTGCTCAATTTTGTCAACCCTGTATTTTTTAAATTATTTTGTATTTAAGTAAATTACTGACAACTTGACAAAGATGAGTGGTTTCTTGATACCATATCGCCTACTCACCCTTTCATCTTCCAAGACTGAGTGGATCACTGTGTTACTTTCAGGAAACAATTGATGGCCAGAAGCTGCAGCATGCGGCAAAGGCATTGTACTAGTAAGTGTTTTATTTGCCTCACTCTTCTTGTTCTTTACTTTTTCTAATTCATGCTGGGCCAAATCCTGTTAAGAAATAAAGTTCAGTGTAACCCCAAAATCAACACTTAGGTAGATTAATGATGTCCCTACCTCTAATAATTTAAAAATATGTATACAATGTAGTATTTATATTAAAGAAAAATTTGTATGTACATGTAGTATTTATGTTAAAGAAAAATTATAAACTTTTAGTGCTAATTTTGACTGCCTATTTCTTAACTTAAAAATAATGCAAAATAGAAATTAGAGAGGTAGCTTCAACATTTAGCAACAGAAAAAGGATAAGAATTCCCATTATTGTCTTAGAAATATGAGACTTATTTATTATAGACCAACACATGATGATTAATTGTATCTTGTATCAAAGATATTAGAGGCAGAGTATAGATTGTTGATAAACAAAAGAGTAAATCTTTGACAGACAAAAAGTATCAAGTAAAAGCTTTTATTCACCACTGATGCTTCACATCATGGTTTAGTAGATCAATGATGTGCTTTTAAAATTTTTAGTTTTAGTTGTTAGAAATTGATTTCTGAACTAGGTGTGATAATTAAAGGGAGTTGATTCTGATATTCTAGGGTTTTGTATATCTCCCAACCATTAATCTACTTTAAAATCAAAAGTTAAACCAAAATCACAATTTATAATATGCTGCCTTGCCACTTAGTAGTTTCTTCTTCAAGTTCATTAAGATTCAGCTTGAAAACTGAGGAGACAGTATTATATTCTTTATCTCATGAAATTTTTTTTTTATAGCATCGAGTTTAATTTGAAGTTTTTGCTCAGAGGGTAGACAATTAATGGCTTTACAGCAAACCATTCTAAAGCTATAATATTACATTCCTTCTTGCTTTCATTTATTGAAACTTGATCCTGACATAAAATGAGATAAATAGGGAGAAAATGAAGTCAAGCTAATTTTCTTTATGGTGCTTTGTTAGGTACTAAAATTATAATCTCAACACTTTCCATGCATCCATTTACTGTGGTCAAACACTATAAAGCACTTACCTGAGGCTGCAAGGTTCAAATTTGAAGAATCCTTCGAAACTACTGTGAGTACCTCATAGCTTGGATTGCATGGAAAGTTGGGCATTTAAAAACTCTAACTGTTAATGTTTCTCAAAAAAATACCTCTGGTACATACATCGTTGGTACCTCTGGTACATAGTTGACAAAGCAACTTCATTTGAATATCATCATAACACTTGAAAAACACCTGACAGTGCTTTGCCTCACATAAGCCTACTTAAGTATACTTATACTACAGAAGGATCTTAAAATTGAAATCTTGTTGAATGAATATAAATTATATATGCTTGACAACGGTTTCTTGACAACTCTTTATGACATTTAATGAGATCAATTTATATCAAGTAAGACATTCAAAAAATTCAATTGAAAGACTTCCTTACCATCCATCCTCACCTTGCAGTAGTTCCTTTTTGGAATAGTGAACTTAGTTTTCTTATATAGGCATGTTACTAATCAATATTATTATGTTTTCAATTTTTGATTCTGATAAAAACTTTAAACTAAAAAATATTAAATTTCACATGCAAAAAGGTTGATAATGTATAATTTATTATTTTGATGTAATTAACACCCCAAATGCCACATTGAAAGCCATCTCACAATTACCTGACTGTAAATATAGAATGATATAATTAAATCACTTATGACAATATCATACAAGTCAGACTGAGTGTCTCCTTTCCTGTGGAAATTATTCCTAGATATTTTTAATTCTATATTATTGTTGTTGCTCTGAAAACTTCAAATTATCTACTCCTTTATACCTATGTGCATAAAAGATTTACTTGTACCAAAAAAACAAATAAATGGTGGTAAATATGATTTAAAGAATAAGATTTTCATTAGCTGTTAGATGTCCTGCTCATGCAAATATTTATCTAAATTTCTATCTTGACTTCAATAGGTTTAAAATAGATTGCTGTTGTTTTCTTTCCTTTTCCACTGAATTTTTTAAAAATAATTTCACTTTATATTTTTCCTTTTCACAAATTTTATTTTTTCATTTTCATTTTGATAATCATTGGAACGAATGGACTTCAATATTTCATTTTTTATTTTTGAAATTCAGTATATCTTTTCATATACTTTGTATATTGGAATTATTCAATTATTATAATTCGAATTATTATAAATTATTATATTTTTTAATTTTGATTGTAACCAAATATTTTAAAAACTCATCACATAGTAGGATCATAGAATAATATGTTTTTTTAGAAGCATTTTGTGAACCATTACAAGCTGATAGTAATGAATACTTACCATAGACTCATACATTCTGTACGCACCCGGTGCATGGACGAACTCAGGCTCTGGTAGTCTACAAAAGAAATCAAATCATTAAATATTGAATATGCACATAAAGCGACTAACGCACTAAGAGTAAACAGAGTATTAAAACTCACATTCTATTTACCATTCAGGTATAAACAAATATTGATACATAAACACAGAGACAGATTGTTTTGTCATAATAAGTAAAAGAAAACTTCATCTAAATTTCATAGATGGAAAGAATATATAGATCTAACTAATAGACTTTAAGCTCGTGGTTTTCTCGATTTATCAACATTTCATCCACATTTCTGTGATTGTGTCATCCACTGAGATGTTAATTCTATTTAATTGTCACTACTCACTTTTCTTCCAGTGGTTTCGGCTCCTCAACCTTCTCCTCTTTTTTCTCCTCTTCTACCTTTGGTGGTTCTGGCTTTAATATTATTCCAGCTTTAACCTGTGGTCTTAAATCAGCTTCTCGGCGCTCAACCAACGGTCTTGGTTTTGGCTTCTTGGCTGGAGTCTCTGGTGTAGCTGGTTTGTCTTCCATGATTGGTACAGGAGGCTTTGATGGCTTCAGAATTGGTTTAATTGGTTCAGTTTTTTTCTCTTTAGGCTCTGTTGGTTTGTAACTAGTCACTGTAATGGAGTCAATAAAGGTGACTTTAGGAGGCTCTGGTATAGGTACAGGAGGAGAGCATATCTTGGGTTCCTCTTCTGGTTCGGGTGCTTCTTCTGGGACTCTTTCAGGTTCACAAGAGATAGATTCTTCAAGATCTGGAGTCTGTTCAGCTATATCTTGCCCTTCATCTTCTTCTATAGCAGTCTCTGGTTGTTGCTCTTCTGAAGTCAAATAACCGGCAATTTCCACTTCCTTTTCTTCTTTCTCTTCAACTGTTTGAGGCTCTTCAAGGTCTGGAGAAACTGCTTCACTCTTGGTAATGATCACCTCTATTTCTGGTCCCTGCTTCAACAAAGCAATAAAAAATTGTTCATTAGTTTATTCAAGCATCTGGAAATCCTTTAGCCTCTTAGTCTGTTTTGTTATAACTTCTAGTTTTTTAATCTTTTCTTGTAGTCACCCACACAGAAACAGGTGCACTAGACCATTAGCTATCTAATGAAAAACTTAAATGTATAATCCATTTTACAATTGAAAGAAAACAATATACAATTGCAACTGTCATTAGGCCAAGTTCTTTACGATTAAATATAATAATGGCTCAATCTAAAATTAGAGATATGATATTTAGGAATAAGAAACCTCTTACCTAAAGGTTTTATGCGATATTATAATCAATAAATCTAAAATTAGAAATAGGACTTTCAGGGACAAGAAATGATGTTCAAACATGAGATGAGTTATATATTTTACCTGATCCTCTATTGTAGTATCTGGTACTTGTTCTTGATTGCTCATTGTATGTGATTGATCAGGAAGAGGTGATAATGAATCATCGTAATCATCAGGATCGCTGACTATTCCTGATTGCAGATACTCACTCACAATATTATCCATGACATTTAATTCATCATCTGGAAAAAAATGGGTTAAGAATTTAGATCCTTAAAAATAAAAAAACTTTGCCATAACGAAGTGCCTCTGAAGATTATTTTGTGAAAGGGAGAAACACTGGATAAAGAAGGGGAAATCTTTGAAGTACAGGAGAGATCAACAAGAAACTTTACCTACATCTGATACCAAGTTCTAAAATCAACCTTGGGTTGCATTGTGAGGCCAGTGCTCTCATTGCTATGCTACCTGCACTTTCTGAGCATATAATATATAATTTTATCATTTTGATTTCTCACTCATTCACATGTTGCATGCTCATCTTTACATTTTTACCAGTCATCAATAACTAATACATGGGATGTTTACCTGAGGGATCATATTTCTCAGAAACAGAAAGTTCAGATGGTGTTTCAGGGTAAACAAAACTTTCTTCAAACAGAATTTCATCATCTAAGTCTGCATCATTGAATTCATCATTTTGATCATTATCTGTTGGTTGGCTGCAAATGATGACAGGAGGCTTCTCACCAGACAAATGAAGTGGCTTGACAAAACTGAAGTACTGGGGTACAAACCCTCTGTGATGATACTGAAACAACAGTTGCGATTATAACCAATAAGTTTCTGCAACTTCAATTTTTCAGATTCAAATTTCAACTACAACTTGCAACAACTCATGTTGTTAAGATCTACTTATATCATTTTTATTTATATAATATATAATTATTACAAGAAGTTACTTACTACTGTTCGTCGTGGTACTGGCCAAAACTGATTTCTCTGAAACATAAAAAAAAACATAATAATTTATGTTATTATTTGACCTGAAATTTTTCTAGTGTTGTTGTTGTTGTTTATGCTTTGTGTTGAAGGAAATAATATATTTTGGAAATGCAGTTGAGCTCCATCATTAAAACTAGTTGTAATTTGTATTCTTGTCTGTACACTTGCATAAAACTGTATCTTCACTTACTGTTTCAGGAGTCATAGTGGTTCTGGTATCGTATGCCGAACAACAGTGCCTTAATCCATTATGAGTTACTGCATTTTTGACAATATTTGGCATGCAAGCTAAAGGCTTAGTCATAGCATGAAGTCTATCAAAATCAGTGCCATTTTCAGGCACTTCAGTTATGAGTTCTATCCTGCTAAAATCATAAGGCAAGGGTGCAGATTTACAGCGCTCTTTGTGCCTTTTTTCAACCTCCTTTGGAGATAATAATGACCGATGATTTGTGGCTGAGTTAGTCCTTAGTTCCCAAGCTCGTTGTGGAGCACTTCTGATAGATGTTGCAGCTGATCCTTTTCTATAACTAGACTTAGAAGTCTGAGGTCGTCTTGGAACATATTTCGGTGGTGGTGCTGACTTACAGCGAGTTCTTTGCGAATGCAAATAAAAAGCAGTTGGAGAGGACAAGTCAATTTTTTCTGATCGTGCGGAGCTGTATCCACTTCTGGATGAAGCAGGTCTTGACGTTGCTGGTGTTGGTGTAGGGTTCCCAATCTGGAAATCAGGAGTTTTGTATCCAGGTGGATGGCCATGATTTCTGTGTCTTGATGGGTTGTAATGTGAAGTAGATCTTACAGTTGCACTTTTGGCTCTCCTACTAAAGTTCCTCTCCGATGTTGCATCTGAGAAGAAGCCATATAGAGCATATGGATCTAAAAAATTCTTTTCGGTCGAAGCAGACTTTTTCCTTTGGGCCAACCAAAGACGCTCATGGTCTTGATTAATACTCATCTTAATACTTATTCCACTGTCCTCCAAACATGGCTAATGAATCTTCTTTAAATGGTTTACTTAGAATGTTGTGCTATGTTTCCATGAAACATCAGACAATTTATCAAGATCTATCAACATAAATTCAAGATGTAAATCCTTAAAATCAAGAGTAAGCCATTGAAATCACATACATCACATTGTATCATAGCTTTGTAACGTTGATTGAGCTTATAAATCTGAATGCTGCTATTCAAATGATGTTGTGTGTGAGCAACTTGAATATCCAACCATTAGCCAAAAAATAGTGAACCTTTAGCATACGTCATTTGATATATGATGTCTTGTGAGCACCTTCAGTTTGATGATTGAATTTGACTCTGTCGAAAAATACAAATGACAGTTAGATTAGAAAATTGCAGTCGTCAATTTGATTCACAAAATGAACCACGACACAATAAAATACAGATAAGCCCTAAATATTACACTACATTCAACTAGTAAAGTCTAGAACAATAGTTGAGGTGATTAAGCAATGGCTTTAGTCAAAGGTAAATTAATTGCTTTGACCACAATCAGGCAACAAAAAAATTTCGAAATTCTCTTTATCTTCGACTGTACTTAATCTATACTACTCATTTACTTTGAAAGTAGGGTATATTTTTGAAGACCTACTGATATAAACAACCACGTTATAATCGGTATTAAATTAAAAAGGCAATATTGAACTGGAAATTGTCGATTATTAATAACCAAGTTAATAAATATAAATTACGTAAAGCAATTGCATATATTTAGGTCAATATGAGCGTTAAGGTTGAAAAAACTTTTAACACTATTATTCGGGAACCTTTAGAAACTGATGGTTCCAGTACGAAATACTGTAGAACATGAACCTAAAAGAAAACATGGATTCTTATATTTTATGCATATCTATAGTGTCTTGACTTTAAAGCTTAGCATTAGCCGTTAAGCGCTTTAGGATTTAATAAGATATATAAAAAAAAAACGATATCCGATATGCAGCTGATTCATGATCAAAACAAGATACTAAAGTTTATATACGAACAACTTACCAAGTCATAAATGCATGAAGTAAATCTGTAGTTTTTGGACAATCATTATTATCCACAATGGCGTCTAGTATTCTTCTTCTGGCGTTAACACTTTATTTGTGCATTTATTAGCCAATCCTTTCGTTCTGATTGCTGTATTTTGCCCAAACACCTGATAAAATCACTCTGCGTGTTTGTGTTTCCAACACAAAGTCATTTGCTTCTAAGCGTTGAAGAACTAACCCAATCAAATCTCTTGTTAGAACTCACCAATTGAAACACCAAACGAAGCATTTTGATCCAATCAAAATACCCAATAGTTCAACCAATCAAGATGCTCTCTCGTTTTCTCTGGGTTAAATGTACACATAGGCGTTTCCATAGCAACTTTATGTCTGGCTGTCAGACGGGGGTTCAAAACCTCTCCAAATAGAAAAGGAAAAAATCTTTTTCGGATAAAATGTCTTCACATAGTCTGTCTTCCACACCAGTAAATGAAGTAAGCAAGACAAACATATTGAAATCAAACGGCCCTTTACCAGAACAATGGATGTTAGTTAAAGCTTGGAATATTGAGAGAAGAGAGGCATTCGAAACATGGAGGTCGTCTGCTAACTCTCAAATTGAACGCCTGTATGAAGAAATGAGGAAATCGGTGGAGGAGTATCCTGAGGCCTTGCTGAAGTGACCATGAAGAAGGCCATATTATTTCTTTTTCAAGCGTGGACTTTGTGTTTTCTTAGCTTGCACTGGGATTATTGTGTGTTCACACTTCAAATGCAACTTAATATTGAAAACTCGGCTGAAAACTTTTAGAGAAGTAAAGCAAACTAAATATTAAAAGCCACAAACGTCTTCCCGTGAAAAGTGGAGGTTTAAGTCTAGAGCGGTAACTAATATGACTGAACACAAGTTTGTCGCCAAATCTTGTGAAACGGAACTGCTTTGAGCCTATTGAAGTACAACATTGGGCCAGCTTTCTAGTGAGATTAGCAAAGACAAAGACATGTGTTTATAGAAAGCTTATTTCTAATGGACGAACAAAGTGTCATCACGATTCTAATGCCACTGTTAAAGTTATTTGAGGTTTGCTATTGGTTTTAAAGGAACTTCATTATAGTACAGCACTGTTGTTAGCATGGATTAGTGAATTTAAAGGAAATCTAAGTTTACTGTAAAATATGTTGATAGTAAATTTGAAAATATAATGCATGTCATATGGTACGCTCTCAATCGAACTGAATTTTACATTTTGTACGTTAACAACTTTCGACCCAAATCACTCCTGATTATGATTACGGGAGTCGAGTTCCCGTTCAGTGAAACTGATAATGAAAATTTTCTTGGGGYGTTACACATGCAATTTAAGTTCCATGTTAAGGTGGTGTTACACGGAATAACTTGCTACGCCGCTTTTTCGCGCAACACTGTTGCACGAAAAATCGTTGCCGTGTAACATAGCGCCGAGGACTATTTTTCGCGCAATATTTCACTCTGCAACACGTTAAAAGTTTTTGATCTGGCTTCAAAAACTTGCAATGCAAGATGACGAATTTTCAGCAAATCCATCCAACATGTCCATCGCCGATTTGACGCGCAACAAAATGGCGCCGACCGTAGAAGAAGTAAGTTTAAAGCAACTGCGAAAATTGTCTAAACCTACTAGTAAAACGGATAAGATGAAACTTTTGGAGCTGATAAAAAATGATAAAAGCAAGAAAAGAAGAAAAAAGATAGCCGTGAGTGAGGTGACAGCGCGTGAAAAAGTTGTTCCCGTGTATCATGTAGAAAACCTCGACACACAAATGGCGCACGATAGTGTTGCACGAAAAATCGGTGTTGCAAGTTGTTTCGTGTAACAACACCTTTACAGAAGCCGAGTCCAGGAACTAGTTATATTTTTAGTGAAACTTTCCCTCGGAGAAAGCTAGAGTGACGTCACAGTTTAGTTTTGTAATATAGTTCTAAACGTTTAGCTATACACATGAGTTCATTGCGACGTGTAAGGGCCATATCCATGAGAGAAAATTGCGATTTCAGTTAACTTTCGATGGGAGTTACAATAACGGTTCTTATGAGATGTGCAATCAACTGGTGGTGTTCTGGGCAAAAATGGTAAGGAACAAAGGAACAAGTACAAAGGAGCAACAACAAC